TCTTTCCCCCCCCCCCCCCCGCCTTTTTTTTTTTTTTTTTTTTTTTTTTTGGTCTTAGTCATTCTGACTGGGGTTAGGTGGTTTTGATCCGCATCTCTTTTATAATGAGGGATGTTGAGCATTTTTTCATATGCCTTTTGGGTATTTGTATGCCTTCTTTAGAGAGTGTTTTTTTTCAATTCAGTCTCCCATCTTTTAATAGGGTTGATCATCTTTTTATGGGACAGCCGTTTGAGTTTCTAGTGTATTCTGGTTATCAGTCCCTTATCTGATGCATAGTTTACAAAAATATTTTCTCATTCTGAGGGCTGTTGTTTCACACTGATTAATGTGTCCTTGGCAGAGCAGAAATTTCTTAATCTGATGTAATCCCATTTGTCTATTTTTGGGATTACTGACTATGATTTGGGGGGTCTTATTTAAGAAGTCTTTACCTACCCAATGTCTCTCAGGATTTCCTCAGTGTTTTCCAGCAGCATTTTTATAGTTCAAGGTCTTAGGTTCAGATCTTTGATTCACTTTGAGTTGATTTTTGTCAATGTTGAGAGGTAGGGGTTCAGATTTAAAAATTCTATTGAGCTTGACTGTAACAGTATCTGAATAAAATAGTGAATTAAGTTAATTCTTCAAAGAATCTGAAATTTTCCAAGCTTTTGGAATTTAGTCCGGAGTTAACCATTATTTCAGTTCTATTACACTCCAGTGTAAACCTTGTTAGAAGGTGCTCTGGGGTTCTAAATTGTTAATCTGAGAAAATTGTCAGAACTGTTGATCAGGGACCTGAGCCTAAAAACCTCCATGTTTGACCACGGGGCATACTACTACTCAAGTGAGGCAAATCACAGTAATTTTAGACACATCTCAATTGAGTGCTAAAACCAGAGCCTCTGGTGGTAACTTTCTGTGAGTGAGAAAAAGCAAGTCACAATCGCACAGTTAATGCAATTTTACTTATTTAAATTTCAGAAATAGGAAAAACTAAATTATATACAAAAAACTGTAGGAAAGAATTTTTTTCTTTTTTTATTTAAATTTATTTATTTACATTCATTTACTACATCATTATAGCATACAAAATCCATCCAGAATACACTGTATATTGGCTCAGTCAAGCACATCAACATACGTGTTATTGTCAACAAATAATTTTCCTTTTCTTGTTTCTTGTATATTTTGCTTTTTTCCCCATCCTTGGTTCCCTATCTTTCACCCTCTGCCATTTCCCACCCTCCTCTCACAGTGTATCTGGTATCCATGGTTGCTTTCTATGCTTCCCCCCACCCACATTTTATTGATTCACTGAAGATCTTAATTAATATAAATATTTTCAATAGCAAGCACAGCTGATATATACGTATCCATGAACACAAGTCTGATTTTAGGCATAAACCTCAGTGAGTAGAATGAACATACTGTAGAAGTAGCATCTAGCTGGGGCTATATAGCTTACTGCAGTCATCAAATAGGTATTTTAATGCATTTTTTTTTAATTTCAAGAAAAAGTTTTGCATTTTTTTTCCAAAACATTTTTTTAATTAATTAATTTACATTCATTCCCTAAGCATTGTCACAGCATACAAAATTTGATTTTCCATCCAGAATGTACTGGATGGTGGCTTAATCATGCATGTTACTTTTTTCATCCATCACAAGATTCATAACATTCATAACAAAAGACAGATTAACAAGACAAAGCATATGAATGTATTTAATGTATTATGTGACAATGCGAACCTTCAGAAATGAAGAATCAAAAACCCAGGGGAAATTATTATTATGGACAGTATGATTGAAGGACAAAATGTATGATCTAATGGCAGTAAACTAAGGGGAATTTAGCAATATCTACTTGTTCCGATTGTTCTTGATCTCTGGGTATAAAGCAGGACCCCTTCAAATGAATGACTTATGACATACTTGCAGAGTAGGTAGGTTAGAGAGCTCTTTTTTTTAAAAAAATAATTATTTATTTAATTTTGTTTATCATTATCATTACTTTTAAATTTGCTATAGAGCATGTGGGCTCACTGGAGAGAGACAGAAAAAAAGAGACAAAGTGAGAAATCAGGCCATCAGGTACTCAGTTTATGCTAGGGCTATCATCAGTTATTTGTACCTCTTATGAAGATCAATGTATAACCAGAGTCTTCTGAAATTTCTGGAGACCCAAGAACATATAAACTCTTGATAAAAATGACAAAAAAGAACTTCTCTTAGGTCCAGAAAAGATCTCTTCATTGAACAAGCATATAGTAAGTAATGTGGCAATAATGTGTAAGTCAGAGAGCGAAGGTGTTGCCTCTCCAATGGAGAGAACACTGCATTAGAATTGTAGGGATGTCTTTATGCAGTTACAATCTCATGTCTTTTACTTATACTAAAGAGAATTAGACTGAGTCTGTTGGTTTCTTCCTCTCAATCACTGTCATCTTGGGACACTTGTATGCTGATCGTAACCAACTGTAAGTCACACAGTCCAGTTCTTTGCATTCCCTTTCACCATCAGAAGCTTGACTTTGGGGACTTAGCTGGTGCTTTACCTTACATCAAAGAAAGCAATACAGGCCTCAAATATCTCATTATGTATACAGGACAGTAAGGTGTTTAGAATTTTCTGGAGTACAACAGTCAGATAAGGATAAAGAGTCTTTAAAACTGATAATTAGAACAAAGCAAATTTGTAAAAGAAGCTTGAAAAAAGTACAAGTTAATATTCAATGATTCAATAATTTGCACTTAGTTTTTGTCCATTTTCACTCAACTACAGTGAGTTAGATAGCTTTAACTAATCAGAAGTGCTGCAAAAATAGATTCATGTTCTAAAGGCAAAAGTGAATTATTGCAAGAGCAATGGAGTGGCATAAGAACCAGCAAAGCAACTGCCACTGAATAGTGACCAACAGGTGAAAGATGAGAGACAAAGACAGTTTCCAAATTCATTTGTGATTAAATTGAAGCAAGATTGTTTGTCCGGAGTACATAGCCTGTACTCTAGAAGGAAAAGACAGACAAATAAAATAATCTAATTGGATAAAATATAAATCCTGTGTGGCATGGAATGAATGAAGACTATGTGGGAAATGAAGTATCTATAGATAATCAAGTTCTCTTGCAGTCTTTCACATTGGACACCTGGTCACTACTGAACACATACAGTGATGTTCTTGAGAATTTTGTTATTTAATTGCCAAACAGTGAGTGCACTTTCCAGGGAGAGAGAGAGATATGGACAGAGAGAAGGAGAAAAGTGGGGGGGGAGGGAGAAATAACCCCAATAGAATGTGGTCATGCCACAATCTTCTCCATTTCTTCATCCTGTCGGAATTTGAAGCATGCACACACGTGCACTCAGTGTGTTTTTCAAGCTGCTGGAGCTAAGATTGGAACCATGATCAGCCATGGGGGTTCTGGCTTCCTTAACTACTAGACCACAGGGCCAGCTTGTTCTTGGAAATTTTTATCTAAGTCTAAGTCCTGCCTTGCTATGTTAATTCTTTCTTTAATTCTTTAATGCCTAAGGCTAATGTAATAGAATGAGAAAAAATGAATTGATGTGCTCATAACAAAACTTTTTAGATTAAAGTGATAAGGTAACAATTTGCTTTTTCTTTCAGAGGTATTAAATCAAACTTCATTCTAATAGCATTATGCCTTCTCCTCATGTACATCTGAGTTTCAGTTTCAGGCATTATGGGTAGTCAGAAGTCCTCATTACTACTATAAACTTATCCAATGTCTCTAATGCCGCTTTATCTCTGTTTTCTGTTTTTAATTCAGCCTCTGATATGTTGCAAATATTTTTCTGTAGTTCTTTTCAAAGCTGCCTTCACTTCCTTGTTTTTTAGGCTATATATGAGGGGATTCAGCATGGGAGTGATTACAGTATACTGTACAGAGAAGATCAGCTCCATGAGGGAGCCTGAGTTTGGCATGAGATGACGGAGCAAACCTGAGCCATAGTAGAGTGTCACTGCAGTGAGGTGGGCAGAGCAGGTAGAAAAGGCTTTGCTTCTGCCTGAGGTAGAGTTGATGTTCAGGATGGTAGAGATAATGCGGGTGTAGGATAAGAAGACCAAAAGGAAAGTTCCCAGGCCATGCAGGATAGTGGAGCAGAGCAAGGCAATGAGGTTCTTGGAGATATCAGAGCAGGACAGAGGGAGAAGAGATGGCATCTCACAGCTATAGTGGTGGATGACTTTGGCCTCACAGAAGACCATGTTCATAGCTAGGAGGATGTTGATGAGTGCATCCAGAAAACTCAGTCCCCATGAGCCCCATACAAAGTGCATATACAGCTGTTTACTCATGATCTGTCCATATAGCAATGGGTGACAGATGGCAGCATAGCGGTCATAGGCCATCACAGAGAGAAGAAGGGCTTCAGTCCCTGCAGTGACAAACACAAAGAAGACCTGAGCCAGGCAACCCTCTACTGAAATGGTTTTCTTCTGGGACAGGAGGTTCTCCAGCATCTTGGGCACAGTAACTGAAGAGAAGCAGAGATCAACAAAAGAGAGGTGGCTCAGGAAGAAGTACATGGGGGTGTGGAGGCGGGAATCAGCCCTGATCACCAGCAGCATCATCAGGTTCCCCATTATAGTCAGGAGGTAAATCCCCAGGAATAACACAAAGAGCAGAGCCTGGACATGAGCGTTGGCAGACAGCCCGAGGAGAAAGAACTCAGTGAGGGTACTGTGGTTCCCCATGGCCGTTTAAAAAGGCTGTTTCCTAGAAATCACATAAAAACTCATGGCAGCCAAAGTGCTACTATTCCACAAGAAATTTTCTCAATGTATTTAATGTCTTACCACATCACTATTATTCAGTAAGCATTTTTGGATCCTACAAAGGCCTACGTTTTGTGTTAGTCACATGAAAGATTAAAAAGCAACTGAAAATGGTACCCTCTTTGAATGGTTCATTAAAGAATATGGATGTAAAAACAAGAAATTATAGCAGTGTCATTAATGCAAACAGAGCTCAAATTTTTATTTATAAAGTATTCAGTGATGATATTACACTGAGGGAATTTTTAAAGACAATATATGATTTCCTTAGGAAAGTAAGTATCAAAGAAGCAATCAGCTGGCATGAAAAATGTGTTCAAACGATCAGGACTGAAAAAGATGAACTCACGTTTAGTAGAACATGGGTAATTATGAGAAGCTAATGCCTCGAGTGTGATCATGTATTATAGATCAATGGCTGAACATATTCCCTCTTGCGTCAGATAAGGCTCATATTCTAGTTCTTTCACTAAGTAGCTTTATGATTCATACAACATGCATGAAGCTATGTGTCTATTTCCTAGTATATAAGATGCAGATTATAGTAGCCCAAAGAATTTTTAGAATTATATATGAGATTTTTTATAAATCTTCTAAAAAAATCTACTTCTAACAATGAATTAAAAGTCACTGTTATTATAATTATTATTTATGATTGTAAGTCTAGGCTAAACACAGATAAATGCTCTTGTAGGGTGAAGCATTATAAAAGATGAAAATTCTCACTGCTAATGTTGCTTTTGGTATTATTACTTTATGTGCTTTTTTCAAGAGAGGTGCAAGAAAATCACACTGAGATCATGACCTGTAAAAGCCCACCCATGTTCATGACCTCAGTTGGAAGAAAAATTGAAGGTTTGGAATTATTTTGGAGAAGAGACTCTCTTAAAAGGGATAAGCCACTTTGTAATAACTGTGGTGCTGTCACTCAGAAAGAAGGGCTTGTATTTCTTTCTATTTTTTGATTCTTTTAAAATTTATTTTATATATTCAATCACTGTACGTCACGACAGCTTATAAAATGAATTTTCCCAGCATAAATACACTGCACACCAGCCCAGTTAAGGATATTATCATACACATTACCATCAACAGATAATCCTCCATTTCTATGGATACTGTTATCAAATTCTAGAGTTAAAAAGTGGGAGGGAAATTGGTCGAAATTCGTGTACATATCTGGAGAAATTTTTGAAAGCATTACTAGAATGGATGTAGATCCCAGGAAAGGCTGGAATCTTTGGGCAAGTAAGAGGAAGACTTGAGAAGATTTCAGAAACATGAAAGCTTGAATTGCTCTATGATATAGCACTAGCAGGATAGAGGACTCTCTCAGTACCACATATTCTGGACCACTCTCTCAGACAATATAAAAGAAAACAATTAGAAGTTTAATTTTGTAACACTGTGAAGTTTGAGTCTGAGCACCTAGTTCCTGCTTGAAGCACCTGCTGCTGGTAATCCCTACCCCACAGAAAGAGGTCCCCACCCAATAACTTTCTCTGATGGTAATCAGAAGACTGTTTAAAACGGGAATAGTAAGTACATTCATTCCTTTATCTTCCTCTCTTGCACAGATATCTAGATTTGCTTTCTGACACAATATCTGATTTATGTTCAAATTTTATCCTCAGACATTGTCTTTCTCTCTTACACAGATATCTAGATTAACTTTTAGACGTTTACCCTAAGACATTGTCTTGAATCTTCTAGTAGCTCTATGATTTATACAACACACAAAAAGCTCTCTGTCTAGTTTTTTAGTATATAATATGCATATTATAGTATCCCAAAGAATTTTTAGAATTATATGTGAGATTATTTATAATAATTTCTCCTCCTGACCAGAATGTGTTTGTCCCTCCAGTAAGTATCTCATGAGTCTTTGGGACTAGTACAACAATGTTCTATTTGCTTTAATGCTGAGTCCTCACTCATGACTTTGAACTTTTGCCCTTACACCCTAAAGTCTGACCTTGGGGTTATCTGTAGGACTATGGTGACCCAGTCAGTTTTTGGACCCTGACTATTCCCAGTAAATCTAAAGCCCCATCAGGAGGAACATCTAAATTCTTACTTATTAAATCTTTAGCCAAAAACCTAGCCTCAAAATCTTCCCACACCCCAAATACATGTTACCTGTACATTCTGTCCAATAAGCAGTCTGTTCTCCAACTTGGCTGCAGGACTTTTTACTTAGGTTCATCTACTAAAACGGTAGATGAACTGAAAAAGGCAACTTTCTAAATCTTGCATTATGGTTGAGTTTGTGAAATCCTATTGTTGGTGAAATTTCTTACTAAATTCTATACTAATAAAGTTAAATAACCATAAGGAAGTTTCTTTTTTCAAAAGTTCTAAAACACTTTCAGTTTTCCCTGTTTTAATACTGTGTCTCAGTGACACATAGGCTGTCTTATCAATAGTTTAACCAGTCTGCAGAGCAGTGCTACCTGGGCAGCAGGTTTAGGTGATTTCCTGTGTTAGTAGTCATCAGGATGGATGGAGTCACAGTTTTTATATTCTATAATTACAATCTGAAATTGGACTTAGTAGGCAAGAACTTTACTAACACTGATTGTTATAAAGACCAATGGGGATCCTTTTAGGTGTGGCCTTTGAAACACGTGGGTTGATGCAATGGCCTATAATCATCAAATCTAAACTCTTCTGAGTTTTGTGGGGATTGAAAAAGAGAGAATGGCCAAATGGGCATTTAACTGTATTCCCAAGCAGTAAAGGAATAATTTTTAAAAGAATTATTCATTTAATTTTTATTTATTATTATTATTCAATTTGACCAGACAAAGACAGCAAAAGCAAGTCACCAGGTCTGGGCCTTGAACTGTGGTCAGCCATGTGAGAGTTGTACCTCAATCACTAGGTCACCTGCTGGCCTCAGAAATAATTTTCAATTGATAGTCTATAAGATGGCTCTTCTTGCTGGCATTTCTCTGAAAAAATTCACTTCCAGGCAAACTTACTGTGTAAAAGAGATTTGTTGATCAGATAAGTAAAAGGAAATAAAAACAAGCACAGTTCTTTGTCTAAACTGTCTATTCAATACTATTTGCTTCAGTGGATGTATTTCAATGCCCACACAAAGCATTGTTAAAGTGTGAGTGGTTCCATATTTGTGAATATTTAAGAAAACATTTTATTATTATTATTATTTTCATTTAATTTTCTCTTATACATTCAATCACATTATTATTTGGCTTACAAAATGGATATTTCAGTAGGTGAACATTTCTCCCTAGTACAGTTGATAAAACTACAAAATATCTTCAACAGATAGAAAATGTTTTTTAATATGTTTATTATAGTCTTAAAAAGGAATAGATCATTATAAACTTCCAAATTTATCCTTATTAACTTACAATAAGCTGTCAGGTAAAACTGGACTTCCTGGTATGATAATTATTCCCCACCATCACTCATTAGTTAATTAAGAAAAAACTCATAGCATTCAAAGATGTTTGAAATGATCAAGTTCACTTTCTTGAACATTTGCTCTCTTTTAATATACATAGGGATTTCAAAGTATTGTTTTGAAATTCAAAATCGTTTTCCTGTTTTTTTGTTTTGTTTTATGTTTTTCTGTTCATAAGAGCTAATAACATTATCTTAGACTTTATATATGTGTTGATGTATATATTTAAGAATTTATATTTCATAAGATTATTTGTCATATATGTATACATCTTTGATTATGTGAACATTTGTCTAAGTCTCTGTATGAAGAATATATATTTGAAGTATTGCAACATGTTTTGCTATAATAAATCCAATAAAATTTTTCATTGCTTATTTCTTCCTGGGTCATATTCCAAAACAGAAGATTAACAAATTGGGCTTGATTACAATTAAAAGAAATATTTTCATTAAGTTTTAAAACAATATTAAGAAACTGAAAAATTGAACCTCAGGGGAAAGGAGATAAAACACATACATGGGATAAGAATATAAATAAAGCATCTATAAATAAATAATAAAAAACCAAATAGCCCATTTTATATTAGGCAGAAGAATTAAACTGTCTATTCATAAAAAAGAGGATTTAAACATAGTTAAAAGATAAAATAAAAAAATAAACATAGTTAATAAGCAAATCAATATGACAGCTGGTAGCAATTTGGTGTATACTTCAAAATAGAAGGGTGAAGTTTGAAGGTGCCCATCACAAAGTAATCATACACATTTGAGATGGTAAATATAGTTATCGCCTTGTTTTGGTTATTACACAATGTATACATTTTGAAACATCACACTATACCTCATAAATATGTACAATTATTACATATAAATTATAAATTACAATAATAAAAAATGTATGCTTGAGCTTATGAAGAAGATATAATTTAATAACAATGAGACTATTACACACGTACCATAATACGTGATTGTATTTTGTTGTTGTTGTTTGTTATAGAGTGCATGCACTTGCTGGAGAAAGACAAAGAGAGAAACAGGGAGAAAGAAAGAGAAAGTGAGAAATCACCCTCCAGGGAGAATGGCCATGCCATGATCCCTTCTCCTTTACTCTCTTCTTGGGATTTTCGGCACTTACACAAATGTGCCCAGTGTGTTTTCCAAGCTGTCAGGTCTGAAACTCAAACTGTGTAGTCAACTGTGTGGGATCCAGCTGCCGTAACCACCATGTCACTGATTGGCCCCTGTGACTGTTTATTTTGAAATGACTATTTAATTATAATTTATATTGCATGTATATATTTAAATTATTTCATAGTTAAAATGCTTCTACTAATTAAAAAACATAAATTACTAATATTTTTTAAATAAAGATGAAAAAATTTATATCAAAATTAGAATTAAAACATCATCTCAAATTGGTAGCTCTGAAAGAATATCTCTCAATCACTGTGTTCTCTTTTGTTATCATTATTGCAGGATCATTC